AAGGAAGGAAGGCTGGTTTAAAAAAAAGCCAACATCATGCACAACTTTTCTGTACGGACTCTAATCCTAGCTTGTCACCTATAAAAATCACTCAGTAAAAAAATGCCATTGTTCCCAGTTCCCACAGGTTTAAGTAGCAACATTACACCTAATATATTCAAAATTGTAATAACGTGGGTGCTCGTGTGGAGACAACTTAATGGTTGAATAAAATTCCTCCCATTTCTGCAGAGGCCTCTGCGCTCCCGCTGCGCCCGCAGGTGCTCGCGCTCCATCCCGCCTCCTCCTGCCGCTTCTGGAAGGCAGGACAAGGGCTCGGCGGGACAACAGCTCATGGAGAACTGCTCAGGTTTTGCAGAACAAACAATAAATAAATTGGTGGGGTTTGATCCCTTCCTAGGGCACAGACAGCTACACCTGGAAAATTCTGGCTTCCAGCAAGAGCCCCAGGTGGAAATGCCCTAGTGGTCTCCAGGGTGTCTCTTCTCTACTCCATTTGCAAAAATTATTAGTTTATTATTATTATTATGTTCTGTTTAGTATATACTCTTTCCTCTCTGCTCTTCAAGGCATGAAAACCACTTTGTGCCTTTTCGAACCGTCCCCGCGCGCTGCAGGGTCCCTGGGAAGGCAGGAGCTGGCTCACGGCCTCAACCTTCGTGCAAGTCACATCATTGCCCGGCTGCAGGAAGGACATTCCCAAGTGCTGGAATCTGCCTCGGCAGCGGCTCCCGCGGCTCCGGCCGGGGCTCCGCAGGCGCCGGCACCGCGACGCAGCTCACGCCTTGGTGTCACGAGCGCTCCGTCCTCGTCAGGCCACCCCAAACCCAGGCTGGGTCAAACCCCAGGCGAGCGGGTCCCACCTCCTCCCTCCCAAGGAGCAACTGCAGCAGCCACAATAACATCTTACCCTACCTGCGAGTCATTAATTATTTTGTTTGTGTTTACTGATGCTCTCAGATTGATCTGCGTGGCGCTAATGAGGCATTTACTTGCAATTAGGAACCTCTTGCAGAAAGGGGCTCTAATTCCAGGGAGCTCTGCAGATGGATTAATGCCAGCAGCGCGGCTCGGGCTCTGCTCTTGCGCATGGATGCATCACCTGCATTGCAAACCTGCACCGTGCATGCGCTGAGCTGCCCGGCCTCAGCCCCGAGCTCCTGCGAGCAGCAGAGTCTCTCCCGCGCGGCCCTGCGCTGCAGCATCAGCTCCGCAGTTTGCACCGAAACGCCAGCGCCGGGTTCGCACGGATAACGTATATCCACGCGACGTGCCACCATGTGCGGCCACCTCCACAGGAACGTGTGTTGGGCATGCTTTAAACTCCGGGGTCTTCCGGGAATAAATCCCATTTTTGTTTCATAGGCACTCCCGAGTATAAAACATTAGATAAATTTCCTGCAGCTTTAAAAATCTGCCTCGGTTTGACTGCTGAGCGGTACTGTGAGATACAGCCACAAGCAGAGACGCCTTGCACTGAGATGCCTGCTTGGAAAGAAATATTAAATATAAATCTGTGCTATTTCATCATGCAACATTA